CAGCAGGAGAAAGCATCAGAACTTTAATCACAGTAAAAAGTGCTGCTTAACTTCTAGATAATGCAGCTTTAAACAATTCATGTGTTCTAGTTTGTCTCAATACAGCTCCAAAAAAGAGATGCTAAGAGAGAAGGGGAATGGAAGAGAGAGGACTTAGGCAAGTAGAGCTGTCAGACCCATGAAGACAAGGTAGGGCAGGCCTAGGGAGCCCTGGGGGGGGTTATGACACCGTGTTTCATTGCAGTTGTTTTGGTCCTGATCACAGGCACTGCTTCCTGTTCGTAACTCTTGCCATTCTCTCTTCCAGAACTCATCTACAAAGAAGTAATGAATTCTGAAGAAAAGACTAAAAATGGCGTAGTAAAAGGGCAGCCTTCTCCTTCAGGTACTCAGCCCCATTTAATAACTTTGAACTGTTTTCTGTACTGACAAAAAGAAAATTAAATTAGCTGAAGCACTTGAGCTATACCTGCAGTTATGAAGACCATGTTAATGAAATCCAGGGTTTCTAATGGGTTGACCTTGATTAATTGCACTCCAGTGTCATGTTAATAGTTAAAAATTGGTCTGCTTGTTATTTGACATACAGTTGTCAAAATATTTCCTGTGGAAAGATCTGTGGTTATGCTCCTGTGGCTGGGGAAGGTTTTTTTTTCCCCACACTGTTATTATATTGCTTATGGATGGATAACTGAACTAAAAATTGTTATAAGCAAAATTGGTGATGTTAGCACATATCCAGCTGTTGGACATACAACACTGCACCCCCCTCCATGTGAACATGTGGTACCTGCTGTGGTAGCTCATCCTTTCAGAAGTCTGATGACATTAGTGCAACTTGGTGACAAGCTTGGTTGACACTTGGATGAGAATGGAAAGTTGTCTTCAAACACACTTAAAGTCCTGTCACCAAAAAAAAGACAATGAAATTTTACCTGAGGAAAATTCACATCTTGGTAGAACCACCTATCTTTTGCAGAGCCTTTCCTCAAAGTAAAATAATGTAATTCAGTGTTTTCTGCATGTCTTCAGGTACACTTTTTCTGGTTTTTGCATTCTCATTTTTCAGTTCCTGATGAGTTAATATTAGAACAAAAATGCCTCATTAGTAACTGACAAGACAAGGGGAAGCCTGGCAACAGTGGGGGAAATAAATAGAGTGCTGGATGGTCATAATTAGAGCAGTAGCACTGCAGCAGGATTTTGACATGAAGGAAGCAAGATATTGAAAGCAGTGCATGGTGTTCTTGCTGAGCAGCAGAGTATAGGACTTGCAGATTTAATTTTCCAAACTGCTGTTCCACTACTGAAAAGAAATCTTGGACCCTGACAAGCAACTGATAAATCCCCATTCTTAAATCTCTTTCCCCTACAGAGTGGGGGTTGCAGTCTGATTTATGAACAAGAAGTTTTGTAGTTGCTGGTTTCAAGAATTACCTATGGAGGGATGTCTTTAGGTATTCCATGCTTTGTTTTTCCTATGTGGAAGGTTTTTGTTGTTTATTTGAAACATTTTCAAACATACAAAATTGCCATTACCTGTCTAATTACATATTCGTAAGAAGTTGAGCAAATCCCCAAACAGACAAAAAGCTTTTTATTTTGGAAACAGCAAAAGCTGCAGTTCTCCTTTGTTTTTTTCCCCCACACATCTGTACCACTTGACGGCTGAAGTCTTAAAGGCACTTCTCTAGGTGCTAATTAAATAGGGCTTTACAGGAGCCTTCTGAGGAAGGAATCCCTGCTTTACAGCAGGGAAGCTGATGCCTGCCTTAAAAGAGAAGCTGTCAAGTCAATGGCAGAGTCAGAATAGGTCCCAGGAGATGCTTCTCACCTGCTCTAACCTTTTGCTCTTTTCTTCAACTCTTCTGCCAGTGAGAAGCTTCCTGCCAAACAGCAAATTCATAAATAGGCTTGGTTTTCACATTTGAATGCACCTTTGTCATTCTTGCAGTGTTTCCACCTGGCACCCATCCCTTCAAGAACAAGCTGTTGTAGCAGCAGGCAGGTGCAGAGACTAGCAAATGAAGAATTCCTGTATATGATTATAATACTTATTATATATATGATGTTACTGACTAGGACTGCTTGTGGTTGGGTTTCTGAGTGGTGCTGCTTTGTGCTGCTGAATTCTTTAATTCTGTCATTTAGGTTCAGTTTGGTTTTGTATTTTGTGAGTCTAGGTGTTTTGGGGCTGCAACAGTAACTATCAGGACTGTGTGTTGTGTCACATGGAATAGTGCAGAAAGGTGGGAATAACCAGGAAAAGGCACTTTCCAGAAACTTGTGGGCTGAGTTAATACTTCCTGAAAAGAACATTGCAGAATTTATTGAATTTAGAGGTGCTGAGTCAGGCAGAGAATATAAAAATCTTCACCTATACAATTTCTGCAGCTGTTTCTTCAGTTATTTTGCCTAGCTAAGTTGATGGCACATTCAGCAAAGAAAGCTGCACAGCAACACTTTGATAAAAAAGTCAGTTGCAACTACTGGAATTCTTTCCATTTGGTTCTTGGGACAGTATCCATGTCTTAATGGCAGGCTTCTGTCCAGCACTGTAAACGTTCAGAAAGGTAATACATTGTTTTAGTCATTAATGTAATTAAATGCAGACATATTTGACTATATCTAAACGTGGGGTTTTTTGTCTGATTAGTATTTGCATTAAAGGCCACATGATTTATAACATGTAAACATGAAGTAGCAGCGTTGTAAGGGGTGGTTACTGAATGAAGCACATGTAAATAACCCTTAGAAAAACACATCTGTCAGGAGAGCTGGATTATTGCTGTCTGCAGTGAGACATCACTGAGACTGCTCTGTCTTGTTTGCAGCCTTTACAAAATGAATTCTTGTTTTCCAAACATATCAGGAGAGTAAACTAATTGCAAGGTTCTTCTGAAGCCAGAATGTCTTGTATCTGTCTCTGGCATGTGCATACTTCCAGGATGTGTGCACAAAGGGAAGAAGTTGAGGAGAAAAGAAGGATGGAGGGTATGGTGGCTCTTTTCTCAAAGCAATGTTTTTATTGCAAATGGGAAAGTGACAGAAATCCTCTCCTGTTGTCCATACCTCCTATATTTTGCCAAGGCTGTATAGATGGCTATCAATATATTAAGAAGAAAGGGATGTTGTAACTTCACTAGGTGTGATGTTCTCTCACTTTTCAAGGCATTAGATGTTAATTTCTGTCCATTTTGAGGAAGTGGGAAAACTTTTTGGCCATAAGAATCTCATCAGCATCTAACGGCAGAAGAAAAGTCTGTGTGTGATGGTGACTGGCTACAATTTCCAGCTGTGCAATATCATGCCAACTCCCATGTTCCATTGTCATGATTATTTATTGAAAATGAATGTATCCATCCCAAACTGTAGACAGTGTTAATATTTATGGAAAGAGGACACCAAAAGGCTTCATGAAGGCTCAGTGTAAAAAAATACCAATCAAACTGATGTTTGCTATTCTGAGAACTTAGGTATGAGTTGAGGTTAATGGGCAGAGTGACTGTAGTTATCACTCTGTTACCTGCATTTATAGGACAGATAATGCGTAATAATAAAATGTTCATGATGTTAATGATGTCCTCAGGAAGGTACATTCTTGGTTTCACAGAACTATTTGTTAGATAATACCTGGTATGATCATAATTTTGCAGAGGACAGGAATCTTGGATACACAAAAATACTGTCACAACTGAAATCCTGGGCTTAGTCTACGTAGTCCTTAATTAAGTGGAAGAAACCAGCCCTGCCTCCCACACAGCCATCTCCTCTGCATTGTCACTAGGTGATTTGATGCCACTCATTCTGGGGGATGGGGAGGGACTTTTCGCCACAGAGTGTAGTGATAGGACAAGGAGTCATGGTTTTAAACTGTAAGAGGGGAGATTCAGGTTAGACATCAGGAAGAAATTCTTCACCATGAGGGCAGTAAGGCACTGGAACAGGTTGCCCAGGGAGGTTGTGACTGCCTCCTCCCTGGAGGTGTTCAAGGCCAGGCTGGATGAGCCTTGTGCAGCCTGGGAGGTGTCCCTGCTCACAGAAGGAGGGTTGGAACCTGATGGTCTTTAAGATCCCTTCCAACCTTAAACATTCTGTTATTCTACAAAACTATCTAGAAGAAAACTGGGATGTTATGAGTACAGAGGATTGGCTTGAGTCCCTTTAATGATCGTGTTGGTGCCTTTGTGATCCTAGCAGACACCTGATGGTTGGGTGTTCTGTAACTCTTAAGAAAGCTTCAGACAAGTGGAGTGATTGACACAACATGAGCTCTCTTCAAAACAAGACTGTTGAGGGAGAGAATGTCCTGGTAAAATACCAATTATCCAATTCCTGAAGTTTGTGTGGCCCATTTTCTGCTAATGTTTGCCACAGTTGGAGACGCTCCCTCTGCTTCCCCGCAGGCGACGAACCCTTTGCTTTTTGAGCGGTTTGGGGCTTTCAGGTTTAATCACACTGGTGTTCGTTTCCGTAGCACAGGTGCAGCAGTGAACAGCAGTGAGAGCCTCCCTCCATCCTCATCTGTCAACGACATCTCCTCCATGTCCACGGATCAGACCCTGGCGTCGGACACGGACAGCAGCCTGGAAGCTTCTGCGGGCCCCCTGGGTTGTTGCAGGTGACTAGCCGCCTGCCTGCGAAACCCTGCCTTCTTCAGAGGATGATGGGATTTGGGAGTCAGAATTCACAAGGAGTGCAAGAGAGATGGAAAGGAAGAGAAATCACATACAAAGTTTTACAGGAAACCAACGAACCAATCTTTTCAGCCTGCTTCTCCTACAGAGTTATGTAATGCAGCTAAGCTCAAGTGTATATTTAACTTATAGTTGCTCTGCTTTGGTCTTCTTCCAGTGATGCTTACTGGGAGTGTGGGGGGGTGAAAGGAACTGAAAAGTCCTTTTTTTCCCCCCCTCTCCATAAGATGTAAAATGAATGGCTGCAAAACCAGCAACCTGCAACTGTCCTTTCACACTGGCATGACAAGGTGTGCAGTAGCCACTCTCAGACATACAAGTGTGTACCTGCCTGCACTCTGTGCTGTTGTCTTCTGCACAGGGAGGCAGGCAGGGATACAGATGCATTTTTCTTCATACACAGACAGCACCTACACACACGTGCCAATAGCATCCTGACAGTTTATGTAGCTGTGTGCCCATAGGAACACACACATCTGCATGTGTACTTAGTGTGCACTCCAAATGGCCCATTTCAGGTGAACTGCATAACAACAGATGTGATATTACCACTATATATTCTCTTTATTTGTCCATGGATGAGTTGCATATCTTGTATGAGGATTTGTGGAAGTGTAAATAACCACATCCAACTGTGGCTCCCTCAGACACTTGAAGATGTAGCACCAAAATTTCTGCTGAGATTTGTATATATATTTTGAAATAATAACCAGTTTGTATTGAAAGAAGATACCACAGAGCTTCATAGAAAAATGTTTGTGAATGTTAAGACTTGTTCTGATTTTTAGAGCAGATATGCCAAGTTCAGACCAGGTTAGAAGGAAGCACATATATCTTTGCAAGCTACAGGGAATAAGAATTCAAGGGTTTTAAAGGGTTTTATGCATGTGTAAGCCCAGAAAGGTTTATCTCAGTAAGCAACTTCTTCTGTCAATGTGAAGTGAGTGATCATCTTAGTTTGTAGAGAGTTTGTAGATACATGTGTGTATGTTAGGGAGTATGACAGGGTTGGGGACAGGCAGATTTGGGTCAAAAGGACATGCAACAGCTTGTTTTTATTTTATGTCTAGATCTTTACTAGGTTAGAGAAAGGAAATTTGTGGTCCACTCCCTCTCAGTGGATGTTTGCAGTGGCTTAGATGTTGTTTTCCCTTTAAATCATTCCCTTGCAGGGATTTCCACTGCCAAGAGAACAGGTCTTCTCTAGGTGCTTTTGGCAGTTCATTTGCTCACGACAAATCACCTGACTCCCCAGGAAGTTTTCTCAGCTATGTGACATGGAGAAGAACCACAGAGTGCACAGGTCTAGTCTTCCTGTCTTCTAAGTTATAGCAGAGGATACCAATCAGCTAGTGCACTGGCCTGAAAGCATCACAATCAGGGGTCCTGGGCAGCTCTGACAAGTTCTGAAGAACCCAACTGTGACTGAATATCCAATTGATTTTACCAGCTAATAAATAATATGTAGGTTTCCCAGTGGTAAGGAACAGCAAGTGTTTTTACCAGAGAATGGCAAAACTCCAGACAGAATTCCAGAACAGGTGAATATTTTTACAGACAAAACAGCAACCAGCATTTTCCACTGCAAGGTCATTATTACCTGAGTTGGAAATGAACTAAAATCTTAGTCATCTCACCTCTTAGCAAGGCATGCCCTGCAAACCGAAATGAGCTAAATCATAATCTGCTTCTTTTCCAAAGAGAAGACCCATTTCAGCTATTTCATTGGATATTTTAAGTTCACTCATTTTCATATAGGCAAAATTCTACCAAATAGGAGAGTTCTGTTAGGTCTGCCATTCTGTGGAAGGAAAAAATAAATGGAGTATCAAGTCAGATTTTGTTCAAAGGGAAAGGAAATTTTAAAAATTCCTCCTGGAGTGGTCAGGAGGGGAAATAAAAAATAAATGGATAGAAAATTATGTCAGACTTGGTAGGCCTGAGCTGTGACAATTGCTGTAGGAAATGTGATTTTTCCCCCAGGTATATTTTTGGTCGATTTTTATGGAAACTTTTTTGAGAATAAAATTAGGTCATTAACTCAGAGCAGTAATTGTAAAAGCAATAATTTACTACTGGTAAAATGTTGAGCAATGTTCTTTCTTAAGCCATGAAGCATCAGGACAATGTTGAGTGATCAAACTCTCACTTCAAAGCCAATGATCATACAATTTTTGACTGGTAAACAGCTGCCATCTGTAGGCTGGAAGCCAATAACACCAAGGGTGACTTCTTAGCAATAATGGGATTTATCACTTCCAGATCTAATTAACCATAGATATATATTAATAATATTCTGGTAACTAGTATCTGCTTTACATTCCTTAGTGTGCACCATTTGGGTGTGTTATTTCAACAAAATGAAACAACTGTCTCAAAGAGGCAAAGCTGCATGTAAGAAAAACTGCAGAAACAGTACCAGGGTAGAAACTGGGAATAATCACAGGTCATTGCCAGTGATATTTGGAGATGGGGCACAGGAAAGAGCGGAGAAGCCACTGGTAGTAGGCAGATGCTTACACATCTCCCACGTTTCATCTCTCAAAGCCAAACTATGTGCTCTTAGTCCCAGGATAGAATTCAGTCTTGTTTGGGTTCGTGAGTGCTGGGTGGAGAAGCAGTTATGGTAGAAGATGTCCTCATGGTCAGTGCTAAATGAACCCACAAGATGGAAGTTCTAGAACTTTGTTCCCAGAAGCCCTGATTCTGCTTAGCACCAGTGCTTGTACAGACATTTACTGGAGAGGATAGGGATGCATGCAGGCTTGTAACTGGCGTGTGCTTTTGTCCTTCACTCAGCAGTGATCGACATCAGCACGTGCTTAAGTGCCTTGCTGAAATGGGGCCTAAAAGAATTACTGCATCTCTTTTTGTCCTCAAATGAGTTAGTCTCCTTTATCAGAAGCTCTGTCTGGGGGAGGAGACTTCGGGCTGTCCACATTGGACACTAGAAAAAAGCCATCAATGAAGAAAAGCAATAGTTCTTTACAATTCTGGTCCTTGTGTGTCCAAACTGAAGTAGTGACAACCAAACAGGAGTAGTGTCCTGTGTTTTGCCTTGTGTCAGGAAGTTGGTGTTGTCAGTTCATACCTTACAAGAATGTATGTACTCTTGAATAAAAGGTATCAGTGGTGATGTTCTGTAGCTGTCCTAAACAAAAATTTTCTTTCAGACTGTAGAAGTTTTGATGCCCTTCTCTTCAAATCTGTTCCCCTTTTACTCTGACATTCTGTTAAGTTTGATAGAGATGCTTTTCTTCTTTTTTTTGCCAGTGATCTTTCAAAACTACCTCTGTTTAAAAAGCTACTAAATAGTACTTGACTAAGAATTTTCACCTCATTCTCTGAGGTTTGCAGTCACAAGCATAACTGCCACCCCTGCAGAGATGTCCCAAGGTATTTAGGCACTAAAGGGGCAATCGGAGAGCTTATGCCAGAAGTGGCATATCTTCCACAAACATGAGTGGCAGCTGGACACCTTGCTATTTTTGAAAATATGCCTAAGAGCCTACTGGTATCTAAGTGCCTGAATACCCAAAGAAAGTACTGTCCCAAGTGGCTTATGTAAGTCATGTAGAGATCAGCAGGGTGAGGAAAATGGCAGAAGCATCTTAACTATCATTGACTGCTCAGAGCACTAGCTGTAGGAAATAGCACTGAGAAGGTAGAGAGGAAAGTTACTGCAAAACATTCTTGCTTTGTTTTCAGATGGGGTACTTCTGGATAGTGTCAGGAACAAAAACAAAAACACCCAGACAAAAAGAAATTAGAATTGTTCTTAAAAGATCCTCACTCCATTCCTCCCCACTGATGAGTTTAAATGAGGATGAGCTGTTGAGTTACTTCAAGTTGGTGAAAAGTTATGTGTGTTTTCATTCCAAAATTCTCGGTCATTTTTGAGATCAGTCTTCAATTCAGTCTTCTTGGTAGCTGGAGTAGTATCTTGGGAGTTTGGATTGTACTCCATTAAAATGTAATCGAACTTTCTTACCAGGGTTCAGGTATTTGAGTTGGTCACATACCAATTTATGTGGATCACATTATTGTTGATAATCCTCCCATGCTATCCAGAATCCATGGCACAGACAGATCCAGGAATCTTAGCATGTTTGCATTATGTCAAGTGGAGCTGAAATTGGAGAGTGTGGGAACATGTCAAAAACAAAAAATAAGAAGCTACAGAAAGCCTTATCAGGTACTTCCCTAATGGATTGATGGTTTTCCTCTGGAAATCACCAGTTCCTGCACAACATTGGCCTCCAGAGATTACACAAGACAGATGATTGTGTCACTGTGTCATTCTTCTAAACTTATTACCAAAAATAGATTCATGTATATGGTTTTATCTTCATATACATTGATTTATCTTCAAGCTTTGGGCTAATGATACTGAATAAATCTGACTTGTTGCAGTGCCTTTAGGAAGTTATCCAAAGTATTGCTACTGAACTGATTTGGATTGCATTCCAATGTTTGTCAGTGAACACCAGTGATTTCTTTTCCACCAACATATGTTCTCATGAAAAAGATTATAGAAGTCAATTGTAGAACTGCCTGAGAGAGTCAGTTTCAGAAAATCTCCCAAATTTTTAATTAAAAAGTGGTTTGAGTATCCTGAAATGATTTTAAAATGTAATAGAAATATTTTAATTCAAAATAGCTTCTACTAGCCAATGTTAGCTTATTGATATGACCAGTTTTGCAGTATTTCAAAGGATCAAAAAAGACTTTAGTTTAAGATCTATCTCTATTCCTTTCTTTACACTTACTGAGGTTTTAATGAATGAATTCAAACATGGAACCAAACATGCAAACAAAGGTTACAAACAACAACAACAAAAAGGCATATTGCAACAAACTCTGTGTGCTTCCAGGGAGAGCAATGTGAAATGAAACCTGCAGGGAGGAAATGGATTTCTATTTTAACAGAAAAAAAAAAGAGTCTAAATTAGTGGTTCAGTTTAAGTTGAGGCTTTTGTTT